GAAGATGCAAACATTAAAAAAAAAAACTTAAGTAAATAGTAAATGCTAAGCCTGGTGGAGGCACAAGTAAAGCCTGGTGGCCCACCAGGCTTATAATACACTGTGGGAACCCCTGGGAGTCTACAGGCTCAAATAAAAGGCCTTATGCTGAAAGAAACTCATATTTAAAGCAGTAATTAAACCAAAAAATATACACATTTGCATCCAAATAATAATAATTTAAAAAAAATTTATTTTCTTCCCAAAACTCCTCAAGAGGCAAAGTTTTATCTTAGCCTGGTTCAAATTCTGGAAAAACAAACGTCTTTTTGCTTTCCTATGTCAGAATATTAGGGCAATACTGTAAAAATAAGAAACATAAATTTCAAGAATAAAGTTGTACAATAATAAAGTTGTAATATTACGAGATAAAGTCAGAATATTACCAGAATATAGACAAAATAAACTCAAACAAGTTTGTTCTCATAATATTTTGGTTTCATTCTTGCAGTTTTATGACTTTACTTTTGTAATTTTTTTTTATTCTAATAATTTTTCCTAGTATGGCCCCTATACTCCGATTAATCATTTAATCCAAAAATTCATTTAGGCAATAAAATGTTTTCCTTATTTTAAAAGGGCCTAATTTGTTTCAATGTATTTCTAATATTGTACAAAAAGGCTAAACTTTATTTTTCCGATTGATCGTTAGAATAATTGATTAATCAGTAACGGAAATATTTCTTAGTTGCAGCTCTATCTGAAGTTATTGTCTTGTGACGCCTCCAAAGCAGCCGTTTAGGAAGCGTTTTCTCAGTTAAGCATTTCTAATCTGTGGTCTGGAAGAAACCCAAGAGGGCAAAAGATGCCATTTTTGCTGCGAAGCCTCCGGTGGACAGGCCGGCGCACACAGTCTGCAGATCTGTAATGAGTCTGCTTGGTCGACACACTAACCATGCATATTCATGTTCAGAGCTCTGGGACTCGGTTCAGTGTGAGCTCCGATTGGTCCGATTCCGTCAAGACAGTCATCAGACCCGAAAGTGCTATTTATAAAAAGACTTCAAATGGTTCCAGGATAAGAATAAATATTCATTGTATATTTAGTCTATTTATCTATAAATATTAATGCAACCAGCATGTGCAGAAGTTAGAAAGCACATGTTTGCTATCGCAGTTGTGGTCAGAAGCATGAAGCCGTAGAAAAGCTTGAACATTTTCACATTTTTTCACATTTCAACCAAAACTTCAGTCTGTGCTGTTTGGTGATAGACGAACACGAAGCTGTGCACAGCTGCAAAGTGGAATCAGTGGTTAACATGCTCCCGCTAACACGCTAACATGCTAATAGCAGAGCTAATTTTTCCTTTAGCACTTTACCTAACGCTGAAAACTTTAGTGCACTTTAACACATTTTTCCTGATCATTTCTGAAGCACTAATTTACTTGGCTATTCTGTACATTTTCAGTTGTGTTGGAGCAGTTAGCATTTTTTATTCATGCTGCTATTTTGAAGTAAGCAAAGACTGTTAACGCAATAGTTTAATTTCCTGTCTTCTTTTTTTCCCTTTATTTCAAACAGGAAACATGAAGGTACAAGATAAAACACAGACAGTAGAGAACTAGATATAAACATAAATACAGATTCTAAGGGCAAGAATGAACAAGCAAATTCTAAACTCAAAATTAAATTGATGATCATGGTTTGTAATGTGAACTTAAGTTAGCGCGTTAGCAGTAGCTTCAGCCAAATGCTGGCTTAGCAGTTGAGATTTAGCAAATTATAATGTTTAAAATTCTTGGTTTAGGGTTTAGCACAACCAGCTTTTAAGTGAGCGGTGCTCCCCACTGAATGGAGGAACTGGTTTTCAAAATGTTTTAAAAGTGAAAGTCTGAAAAAGACAACACCCATATGTATTTACAACTCCTTAGCCAGTACTTTCTAATAACTTAAAGTAGGCTATTCTAACCTTTTCAGAGTGTTTGTCCTGCTGGAAGGTGAAACAGTCTCAGCCTCTAACAGATTTCTTGCTCCATCCATCTTCCCATCAACTCTGACCGGCTTCCTTTTCCCTGCTGAACATGGAGGGTTGCATGTAGGCCAAAAATCTCTATTTTGGTCTTTTCTGACCAGAACACCTTCTTCCACTTTTGCTGTGTCACCTACATAGTTTGTGGCAAACTGTAAATAGGACTTCTTATCTCTGTCTTCAACAAAAGCTATAATTTGATGGAAGATTTTGGAGTGAACAGTTATGCTCCTGCTGAAATATTCCCCCACCTGAGCTATGGATAACTGCAGCTCCTCCAGAGTTACCTTGTTCTTTGGTTAATGCTGTCTTTGACTGTAAGTTTAGGAACATACAGATGAATGGAGCAGAAGCTGAAATGAAAACCAATTAGCCATTTCAAAGCTAACAACAATGAATCAACTGTCAAGCATGGCAGTGGCAGCATTATGTTGTGGTGCTATTTCATTTTTCAGTGTAACAGGTGCATTACACAAACTCAGATCCAGCAGTGGACAGTGCTAACTAAAAAGTTAGTTCTCTTAACACAGTGCTATGCTAACATGTTATTTAGTAGAAGCTAATGCTAAAGTGCTAAATCAACATGCTATTTAGTGGAAGCTAATGCTAAAGTGCTAAATCAACATGCTATTTAGTGGAAGCTAATGCTAAAGTGCTAAATCAAGATGTTATTTAGTGGAAGCTAATGTTAAAGCTGATGATGAAAGTTTACAAAACAACCAGCTATATTAACACTTCAGAATTTACTCTTGAAAAGTAAATTTAGGGGAAGCTAAGTGTGCTGAACATTTTCAATGTTAGAAAAATTCTAAAGCTCTAAATGAAAAACTAGCTCTGCTATTAGCATGTTAGCGGGTTAGTGGAAATGTGCCAAGCGCTGTTTAAATCAACAGTTGTACACAGCTGAATTGATTTCTGCGTGACGCCAGCAGGCCGACATTAAACTTCTGGACTATTCTTGACTTCAGTCTCATTGAAAATTTGTGGATGACCTTTGACATCCACCAATTCTGAAAATTAGAGTTGTCAGACATCCAGCCAAGCAAACTAGTGTATCAGACATTAGCTTGAAGAATTAATTTAGGGGAAGCTAAGTGCTAAATATTTTCAAAGTTAGCTAAAGAGCTAAATAAAAAAATTAGCTCTGCTATTAGCATGTTAGCCGATTAATGTCAAACAGCTAGACGGCTACATCTAGACACATTTGAGTGTTTCTATGGGACAACAGAAAGAAATACACGGCTAAGTTAATTTCGGAGTGAATCAAACAGCTTCTGGATTAGCCTTGACTTCAAATCTTATTAAAATTTGTGGATGATCCTTAAAAACTGGGCCTGTTCAAAGAAATCTACTTATTATCCCGTTAAATCAGGATGGCATTCGTGCTGAGTGTATGTAAACTTCTGACTGTTTGATGGGACTGATCTGGACTTCACTCAGTCCAGCGTTTTTGCTCGAATGAGTCATTCTCTCCCCACCGTCTGGCCCCACGCTCTCCCCCACTAACCTGTCACAGATTAAAAGGCTCATAACTGTGAAGAAATGCAGGATGACATCACTGTGGGTGTGTTTTTTTTTATGATTATTAATTGCCATCGTCATCATCGCCTCCTCCCGCCTCATCTTGTTTTTTTCCTTCCTGCCAGCGTTTGCCCCCATTTCCAGCTCGGATAAAAGCTTCAGAGAATGGCTGCAAATTACACTTTACGCCTGCAGCCGCTGGCGTTGATGTGTGATTTGTAGATGTTGTGGTAACGGTGCTTTGGTTTGGCATATGCATGATGTGTTAATAGCATGCGTCTGGAGACGAGGTTGTTGTTTTTATTCATCTTGGCGTTGTTGTGGCACCAGAAAGATGGATAAAGCTTTTTACGACGCCACATGACGAATCCTGCCTCTTCACTTGGGCTTTGCTCGTTAATTCGCCTCTTAAGGTGAATCATGATTGTTGCAAACCCCAAATTGTTATTTGGGGATTTTGTTGTGTTGGGATGAAAATAAAAACCAAAGATGTTGAACTTATAGGTGCTAATCAGAAGCTACATGTTCCTCCGATCCGATTAATATCTGTATTGATCCCAATATTGTAAAAAATCGGTGAATGATTCATAACAGCAGATCTATTCAGTCTATTTCTATGCTTTAATATGTTTGTTTGCGTCATATTTAGATTTCCTAATTGCACTTTCTGATTGATTTGAAAGGTTTGTTGCAGTTTTATTTTTAAAATGTTTGACCACAGTAGTCAACTTGTTGTTTTTGTCCGTTTCTGCGTTTCCATTACAAATGTGTGAATCTTTTGCTAATGTAAAAAATAAATAAAAAAAAACAATTTCACAATTCCTTTGTTTCCAATAATGAGAAAAATGATTGTAATCACACGCAAATAAGTTTTTTATGTAATAAGTCAGTAAAAAAACTTGGAGCTCCGTCATTATGGAGCTACTTCCTGTCGTCGTCGTCTTTGTGGTTTTTGCTAGTAGTAACATCTGGTTGTTGATCATGTGACTCGTGTAGTACTAAAAAATTTTTTTCCATCGCAGATTTGCAAAATAAACCAATTTTAATACAGCCAAAATAAAAAACTTAACCAACTGAGTTTTTTCAAAATTGCTGCATTTCCATTAAGCAGGTTAGTTTTCGATTGTCAAATTGTGCATTTAAATATTCAGTTATTGACTTTTATCCTCCCAACTGAACTGACTGAACAAATTAAAGTTGTCATTTTTACAGGTTTGACAAACTGTCAGTTGGTGCAGAGTCATGAAATTAATTTGTAGTTTATTATATTTATGCCTGAGTTAAAAAAAAGAAACATATTGAGTCTGTTCTGATTTCTGTATTGATAACAGAAGTGAAAATTTCTACTTATAAGTTAAACAAAATGCATCCCTGACGTAAGTGAAGTGATCAGATATTGGAAGTGGATCGGTGCATCGTCGGTCCTTCAGGTTCTTTATTTCGCTCCGTTTTCTGTTCCCCCCTCTGCAGAAATCTCCGTCAGCCTGCTGTCGGTCATCGTGACGTTCTGTGGCATCGTCCTCCTCTCCGTGTCCCTCTTCGTCTCCTGGAAGCTCTGCTGGCTGCCATGGCGGGACAAGGAGGGCGGCGGGCTGAGCCTGACATCGGGGCTGCTGCCCGGGACCGCCGGGCTGGGAGGCGCCGCGGGGCCGTCGCTTTTACCCCCGCTGCTGCAGAGGAAGGAGGGCCACTCCTCTTCCTCGCTCTACCCCTCGCTGGGGCAGCAGGGGCACCCCCACTTCTCTGACCTGGTGGGGCTGGAGAGAGGGGAGGGCGGAGGGGTGGTCGGAGGGCCGAACGAGACCCAGGAGCATTCGTACCTGGATATGGACTCCTACCCCAACAATGCTGGTGAGAAATGCCCCTTTTGCTACAACCTGCAGCTTTTATTTAGTTATTTTTTGTATTAATTCATCGATTCGTTCCAAAATCTGAGCAACTTGAACCTGATTTTCTCTGCCCTCAGTTACAAATTATTTATAGATTAACATATTTGCATGCTTGTTATTAATTTATATTCAGTCATTTTAAATTACTTTCATCACTCTTAGATAAATTTTACAAACTGGAACTGAAGCTCTTTGATTTTCCAGCAGATTTATTTTTTCGTTGTGCGTTTTTGCTGCTGAACGTTGTTCATTATTGTAAAGATGGCCGCCCTTTTCCGACGGCGCTGCTGGCCTTTACAGTCCGGATGTCGATCAAAACACCAGCCTGTTTCTGTTTTTTACTGCTACAGCTGAACTGTAGTTACATTACTTCTCAATACTTGACATTTGCTTGAGTATTTATTTTTTTTTTTTTAGAAAATTTACTTTTAGGAGTATTTTTACTTTTGCTTGAGTAAAATTTCTGGATTTTTTCCCCCCACTGAATGGAAAACAAACATATAAAAAAAATTCACCAGTGACAGACCTGCAGGTTTAGTTAAAGTTTCTTAATCTTAATCTGACTTTTAAACAGTTATATATAGATTTAGTTATATTTTGTTACTTATATAAATTATTGTCATTTTGGTTTTTAAAATAACGAAATTTCCACTTCACTTTATATTTTGTTTCATCTGATGATGTGATTTTTAAGTATTAAATGACTGATAATCTGATCAGATTCTCCAGGGGTGTTTCTGATCTGACTGTGGCCCGAGGGCCATTTGTGGCCCCTGTACTCATTTTGTGTGGCCCCCAGCTGTAATCAATAAAATGACACAAATTTTGGCTATAGATCCAGTTGGAGACTTTTAATTTGTAATCAAGACAAAAATGTTACCAACTTAATTTTTTGACACAGGAAAACGTAAAGAACAACACAAAATATTTTATTTTAACCAAAAAAACACAATACTTTTTCTTTTTATCTATTTATGAAAAGATAAACTTATTTATGTTTTTATAAATAAGTATTAGCAAAAAGTAAAACCAAGTTTATCCAAATCAGCTTTTATTATTTCTTAAACTTGACTAAATATAGCAAAAGTTTTGAAAGAAAGTGACTGAAATCCAGTTCTTATTGCTAAAAATAAATGTATTCTATTAAACTCAAAATAAACTGAAAACTAGATGTTTTTCTTTTAAATCAGAAAACGTGCAGAACCTGTTGCAGTGGATGAGGGCCATTGTAGAAAAAAATACAAATTAGTAAATATCTGCCAAAAATAACCTGAAATTTTCTAGAAAAAACAAGGAAATCTGCTGGGGGGGAATCTCATTTTTAAATTAATATCAGGAATTTTCTACAAAAAAATCTTGAAAATGTCTGAATTTCAAATGTTGAACATTTTTCTATAAAATGTCCAAGTTTTCTAGAAAATTTCTGAGATTATTCACAAACGTTTTGGCGGAGATGTTCTCAGTTTTTCTGTCTGAAACGGCCCAAATGCACCGTCATAAAAATCCCTTTCAAGTTTTGGTTCTGCATTAATCATCAGGCTGATTTATCATCTTCTTGATTTTACGTTCGGTTGTTTTTGGTCCAAAACTACTTTTGAGTCACCAATTTTAACCCACATGACAAAAAGTTTGGACACCCCTGAGTTCCTCCATACTTGAGTAGATTTTTACCAAATACATTTTTCCTCTTGAGTGATTTATTGGACGGCAACTCTTTTACTTTTACTCGTGTTGAAGCAGTTCTTCTCCTACTTTAGTGTAATTCCTGGGTGCTCTGCCCACCTCAGACTGTCGGCAGCGTTAACTGAGACAGACGGGTTTGTTTTTGCTTCTCTAGGGACTCTGAAGCTGAGTCAAACGTCGCCGGATGTCCCCAACTCGGAGGGCGGGGCTCATCCCAACAAAGAGCTGCCCAACGCCCATTCCCAGCAGCAGGTCACCCCGCGGTCAGTCAGCCGACCGATTCCTCACCACTGAACTTAACGCATGCTAATTGTTTAAAATCAATATAATTGAATGTCAACTGGTGCAAAAATGTGTCTGAGCACAAACTGCCAGTCGTCACAGGAAGGTCATCCTCAGGTCAGATTCTGCAGTGCTGAAAGAATCTGCTTGAGTTTGCAAAGTTGCATCCAAAAACAACCTGATATTATTGATTATTGGAGCTTTTTGGGGTTTATGTGCAGAAAAAAGTTTGGTGAAATCCAGGCAGAAGGTCAAACTGAGATGATTAGAAGTGTAATGTTTAAAGAGAAATAAATACTTCTCTTTTGGGCCTCAGAGGTTGTCTCCAAATGTACCGATAAAGCTCATCAAATATTAATAAATAGCTGCCTCTATGTTTGGTGAGTACTTCTTAAAATTCAATAATGATAATTTGCAAAAGAAAAAACTGAATTCTGAATAAAAGCCAGTACAAAGAATATAAAAATATAAAGTGTATTTAACTAAGTTATTCCCAAACAAAATCAATAAATCCCTTAAATATCACAGATTTGACAGCATAAAATTGGCAACAACATCAAATGATCATGAAGAAATTCTACAACAGATGAGAAATTATTAAAGCTCATAACTGGTTCTTAATTTATGCTTCATTCAGTCAGCAGGTAAAGGAGAAAATAACCTGCAGAATCACCAGAAAATAACCTGCAGAATCATGTGAAAATAACCTGCAGAATCAGAAAATAACCTGCAGAATCACCAGAAAATAACCTGCAGAATCAGAAAATAACCTGCAGAATCAGAAAATAACCTGCAGAACCACCAGAAAATAACCTGCAGAACCAGAAAATAACCTGCAGAATCACCAGGCTGCGCAGCTTCTAGTTTCTATTTTTCATGCGTTTTGCTCATATTTCTGACTCCCTGTGTGATTTCAGACCCAAGCCCATGACTCACCAGCTCTCCAGCCCAGATTTCCACGGCGAGGAGAAGGAGCAGGTCACCTGCATCGGGCAGATCAAGCCGGAGCTTTACAGGCCCAAAGGCGACCAGGGCGAAGGCAAGCAGGGCGACACCTGCGGCAGGATCTGCTTCCTGCTGCGCTACGCCTTCAAGTAAGCAAAGCACGGCTGGCTGCGCACTCTGACAGGAGGCTGACGCTAATTTAGCACATTTAGCTGGGAAATGCAGAACTGGGAGCACTGGGCAATTTATCTGGAACAACTTGTTCAGTTTTTGCTCATGTTGTTTTTAAGGTTTGGAAAGTGCTTGATTTCTCTGGAGAGTCATTAAAAGTGCTGATAGTTTTGTAATAAAGTGCGATCTGAGTTTTGGTTTCAACTTTAAATAACGTTTTCCCAGTTTAGGCTTTTAGTCAGATATTTTTATACACACTCAGGTCTTCAGAACTCAAAACTGACTTTAATTTTCTGAGATGAGACGTCAGAGTTTAGATTTTTTTTTTTTTTTTTTCAGAATTTTTTTTTTTCAGAACTTTGTTTTTTTTTTTTTTTTTTTTTTTTTTCTTTGTTTTTAATTTTTTTTTTTT